GGATATGCTACTGTGGGGAGTGGGACAGAGATGAAACAAGATTGGGACATGACTCATTAGTTGTTAAATCTGTGTAATGGATACAAGGAGGCTCATTAAAATACTTTCTCTACTTTTGTATGTTTCAAATTCTCCATAAGAAAAAGTTGGGGGGGGGGGGACCGATAAGAAAACGCTAGAGAAAAATAGAAATGCTCTCTTCTTCAGGGAGAGGGCTTTATGCCTATAATGTAGTGCTTTTAACAGTACTTCACACAAACACCTATTTATTTTCAGTTAACTAAAACTATGAATGATTTTTCTCCCAGGGAAGAAAAAAGGTGGTACTGTTGTGTTGACTCAGTTTGCTTTGATTGAGGCTGTCTTTTTTTTTTTTTTTTTTTAAACCTAGCTGCCCGTAGGTGCCAACCACCACTTTTCCATCTTGCCCCAGGCTCAATTATGTCACTGTTATTATGACAAGAAAATCACCTGTCATAAAGCTCAGACATAACCCTGAGAGTCATTCTACTCCCTTGCTTAAATATAAGAGATAAAAAAAAGTGGAGTCCTGTCTGCACCCTTTCTGGAAAGTGTAAATGAAGCACTAAACTCTGGACAGAGCAAGAGGAAGTGCTGAAAGACAGCCTCTGGTCTCCTGTGGAGACACACTGGACCCCCCTCCAGCCCCAGAACAGGTACTTTTAGAGTCACAATACAATGGAAAATTGGTCATTTGAACCATTCGTCGTAGAGTGACTCAGTTCAATTTTCCTAACAGCCCAATTCATTTTTTTTTTTGCAAATATTTACTGAACACAACTAATGTGTAGGAGTTGAATGTGCCCCTGCCCTTGGAGAACTTACACTCTCAAGAAGGAACCATCACATAATACACACTTTCAAATGGTGACAGGTAGAGTGGAGGAAGGAAAAGTACAGGGTACTCTGATATCATACAACAGGTAGACTTAAGAGAAGTTAGGAATGGCTTCCCAAAGAAAATGTCATTTTTTCAATTCCATGTGGACTTCCACAATGACACCATACTTTGAAATCTGCTTTGAAATTAAGGCATTTAGATTTTTTTATTTTTAAGGCTTCCTATATGTTTAGGCACTAGTATAGAAACCCTAATCACTTATTCACATCAATTAATTCCAACTAAACATAATTTTGTTAAATTTCACAAATCTATAATTTGTGAAATTTGTTAAAGTCCACCTTGAGAAAAAAATAGTAATTTGTGTTTTGAGTTTAGTTGTTTAAAAAAAGTCAAAATGTTTATCATCAGTCTTTTTCAACCAAAATCAATTGTGCTATCAACGATTACAAATTATAGAACAAACACAAGATAATAAGAATATAAGAATGCAAAATACTGCATGTTCTCACTTATATGTGGGAGCTAATAAAAATAAACAAACAAATAGAAGAAGAAAAGACACAACAATCATAATAGTTCTTTGAACTTGGTAAGAGAAGTGAGCAGAACTGAGATTGCAGGGGGTAACAAAGGGGGAGAGGGAAGGGGGAAGGGAGGAATTGGTAAAGGGCCATAAAAATCAATTACATTGTATAATGATAAATTAAAAAAAAACCCTACTATGTCAAAATAAATAAAATTCCTACTTACAAAAAGAATATAAGAACATAGATGAAAAATAGGCTAACCTCTGAAAGATAATTGAAATTGCATCCTAATGCTTGCCTACCTGTGCTAAAAGGAAGAAAGGGATGACATATTAGCTAAACCACAAATAATCTCACTTCCACATAAATCAATAGTTCCAGGGCCGGCCCGGTGGCGCACTCGGTAGAGTGCAGCGCTTGGGAGTGCGGCGGCGCTCCCGTCGAGGGTTCGGATCCCATATAGAGACGGGTCCGCTCACTGGTTGAGCACGGTGCGGGCGCGACACCAAGGGTTGCGATCCCGTTACCAGTCATGAAAAAAAAGACAAAAAGGAAAAAAAAAATAGTTCCAGCCTTCTTCCACAGCTTTAACCTTTGGGCAGTCTTGTCTTGAAGGAATTAGCCAAATTAAGAGAGGAAGGAGAGAGAAAAGAAAAAAAAGACAAAGCCTAGCTTAGCAGTTTTGAACTTTGAGGGTGATGATGCACAACCTTCGCTTCTGAGATTCTAAGAGAAGCTGTGGACACCTGCCCTAGAAAGTGGACATACATATACTATTTTGCAATTCAGGGGATTTCAGGGGAACAGTGACCTCCTGGAGCCTATTCAAGGGTCCCAGTTAAAAAGCCTAGATAAATACCAAAATTAACTTAAGATAAATGAACAGATATGATGTTTGGGGGGGAGAGAAGGAGGGACAGGGAGGGAGAAAAGTAAGAATTGGTAAAGGGATATGAAAATCAACTACATTGTATATTGATAAATTAAAGAAAAAACCCTTCAAATTAGAAAATCAGCTCTAAGATTATCAGCAGGTGAAAAGGTTGAAAGGGATTAGTGTGTACTGAGTCATTTTACTTATGTTCTATAATTTGAACCCCAACAATAACCTTGGGAAGTAGGTATCATCATCTCCTTTTCCAAAGAGGGAAAGTATATTCAGAGAGATGACATAACTAATGCAAGGTTAAGCAACTTTCTATCATACCCAAGTTTTCTAACCCCTAGGTCCACAATCGCAAACTGGAGAATTCAAGTTAGGTGCATACTCCTAGGGATCTTCCAAGATGAACAGTTTCTGACTTGGAGTGCTCCAATCACATGATCAAATTATCTACATATTACTTCTCAACTTAATCTCATTGACAAAAGGAATTAGTGTGGATTTAACTCCAAAACATCTTTTCTTGGTAAGAGATAATCAAAGACAATGGATAATGGTCTAATAAGTTTTGATAATATTAAATATATTTTCATTTCTGAAGCAGGCAGATGTGGCTTATTTACTAGAACATAGAGGACCACTGCATGAGTGCTGAAAGTCCTGAAGCTTGGATTTTTAAACTGCCCCAGAAAATCCAGAAAGTCACAAACAAATGAACTGAATGCATTTTTAACTTTAGTCTCTACTAGAAACAGGCAGGTATGAGTTCCAGCTGGCCTGGTAACAACATCATCTCCTAAATGGTTAAAGCAGATTAAAAACGACAGTACTTCTAATAAACACTAATAATTTGACAGGTCAGAAAAACTAACCAGATCCACGACCCCTTTGTTCCTCAAGTAGGTCGTGAAGACGTCTTAGACCTTCATGGAAAACCTGCTAATGAATATATCCCAGCAGGAAATAATACATCAAAAACTGGGTCCAGGCCACTAAATTTGGTTGGGTCTCAGTCTAGACCAAGGTACCTAGTGAAATGCTAATATACTTACTCATCTTCTATAGGGGAATTACCAGTAATTAGCATCCTGTTTTCACACAGGTTTAGGAACCCTTTATGGGAAATGTATACACCCCAGTGAACGAAAACTAAGAACAAGAGTGTGTTAGGTCCTCTAAAGCTCTACTCCAACTGCTTCCTATGAGAGTTGCCATCTAGTGATTTTAATTTTTTAAGTCCAGGCTGGCTGCCAACTCAACACTAAAACCAGACTAACAACTGATTTTTCCTATTGCAACATCGCCAACTAGTCCTATGCTTTTCCTCTTTCCTTTGCCCTCTAACAGCAATTCTCATTTTAAAAATCAACTAATTAGCTCTATAATCTGTTCCAATTGGAAGCTCTCATAGAGCTGCCACTGGTATTACTCTTCCTCACAGTGCCAAGAGGCCAACAAGAGGCCAAATCCAAAAAGTCAAAACAGTGAAAGTGAAGAAAAGGCAGGGGCTAAAAACAAGAAGTAAATGCGGAGAGGAGACGTGAATGACGGGCCGACGTTGGACTTAAAAATGCTTCAGTCATCAAAGTTCTACCTACTTTTGAACACTGGATAAAAACTCTGCCAAAATTAACAGGTACAGGTGAGAAATGAAATTGCATTGGGGAATATAAACTCCGTATTTTGAATACCAAACCGCACTCAAGGCCTTGTCCTTACAACTAATGAAGGAATAAGTAAAAACTGAACCTGAAGTTTGGACTTCAGAAGTCGTTTCTGACCACTGTGTGCCCTGGCCGGGTGCAGGCATTAGACAGCAAAGGCTGACTATTCAAAGAAAAATAAAATCTCAAGGAAAGTCAAGTCTGACTTTCCAGGTACTTCACCTGACTTTCATCTAGAGGCATACACTCAGCTACAGATATTTCCCTAGAATATACTTCTACCAAACAGTTTAAAATTAACTAATAATTAGACTCTGATTTCACTAGCTATGGGCAGTAAAGGCTTGTTTCACCATACACAGTTCTGGCGGTTTTTTTTTTTTTTTTTTTTTTTTTTTTTTTTGTCTTTTCACTAGCTATGGGCAGTAAAGGCTTGTTTCACCATACACAGTTCTGGCGGGTTTTTTTTTTTTTTTTTTTTTTTCACCCCGATCTTGGCAGCTCACAAGAAATCTGACCAATTGCACTCTTCCTAGGTTGTGATGATGATCTTTTGGTAGTATCCTAAATCCCACAGAATAAAGACTGCGCAAGTAAAGCATCATCTTTTTCAAAGTCCAAAATTTATTCTGATTGCCAGCAGAAAATTTCGAGCGGCAAGGATTCCCTTCCTCCACCCACTATGCATTCGTGGGAATGTTTTCTAAAGCTGAGAATTCCTTCTTCGGCTGTTTCTCTGTAAGGGGGTCAGACCTGAAGATCTAGGTTAAACTCGCTGCCGCTTCCCGGCGCTCATCGCCAAGCAATGCTGCTCAAGCTACACCTCGCCAGCGACCCTCCGCTAAAGGGTCCTGGGACGCTCCCCATTACAGGAAGCCCACGGAAACCACATTTTCCAAGTGCGCCGCCCTCCCCCTCCCTCCTCCTCAGGCAGCATCCTCGCGTGGGGTGGGGGTGGAGAAGAGGAGTGGGTAAGGTGGGCTGAAGTTCCCGGCCCCGGGGAAGCTGCGAGGAAACTTCCCCGGGGTTTGCACAGACTCCGTCAGGGGGACCGAACTCACCTTCCCGACAGAGCCCCATGACTTCGCGGTTTTTCCCAAACTCCTTGAAACTTTCGTCCAATTCCGTCCCTAGGAGATACACACACACAGGAGGAGGGGAGAGGCAGGTCAGTGGCCGGGAGTGTGACGCACGCTCACGCACGCACGGGGTAGGTGTGGGCACCTCCGCGTTCTGCAACCCAGCGAACGATAGCATCTCTGACCCCCGAGGGGGCGGGTCACAGGACGGGGGCGAGGGGGAGGGGAGCAGAGGAAAGAGGAAGGGGGAAGCGGGGGACGTGGGGAAGAGGGGGGCGTGGACACTCACCGTCCTTCCCAGGAAGTTTGGAAGCTTCGACCCACAGATTCCACGACTGTCCCAGCATCGCTTCGGGACTGGGCAGGGGCC